AACAATTAGCAACACATGGACAGTATCACATCTGTACCTCCATTCTGTCTGCCTTTTATTTGCCTTAGGGTGCATGTACTCACTTGGTGAGAGAGAGACAGAGACAGCGAGAAGGAAAGTGAGAAATCACTCCCCAGGGAGGATGGCCACATGGCAATCCTTTTTCCTCCATTCTCTTCCAGGGATCTTGGGCACCCATGCACACATGCCAGGCATGATTTTCAAGCACTGGGTCTGGGACTCAAACCACAGTTGGCCATGTGTGAGTCCAATGACATAACTACTACAGCATTTGCTGGTCTCCATTCTGCTTTCTTACTTTGGATTATTTCAAAGCAAATTCCAGACAGCCTATCATTTCATCTATAAATACTCCAATGCAGACACCACCTTTTACATTTCCATGTCCTCTACAATTGGAAGATGACTTGCACCCGTGTTCCCTACTACTTGGAGCACATCTGTTTTTTTTCTGAGTGCCTCATATGTGCCAGATATTGTGCTTGGCTCTGGAGGTTCTGTCTGAGTGTAAAAGGCACCAAAATACCAAGCCACAGTATTCTAAACCAAGTATTGCAACGGTTTCAGGGCATGAACACAGAGTGTGTAATGGACCCCAAGAACAAGACCTCGAATTGTTTTATCATCTAGTGGTGACCCTAAATTCAAACATGCCAAAAGACGTGGGGTCTCCAGTAGGAGGCACCACAAAGGTGGTGAGTGCAGGGAGAAGGGGCTGGCCAGCAAGGGGTCCTTGTGATTAACTTCTACATTTGGGGAACCCAGCCAGTCCCGTTGCGGGTGAAAACTGCAGAACTGCAAGCAAAAATGCCGTTCAATAGGCAACCGACAAAGCACCCGGATTCAGGTGCAGAGAGAGTATAGGTGCTGGGGTGCCAGGCAGTCCGGACACCTGCTTCCCGGGTCTTGACATTGCCGGTTACCCTGGCTCCCGCCATTCCCGCCCCAACTGCCGCTTTTCCTGATAGACTATCTCGGAGTGGGGCACAGGACAGAGCGAGGAAACACCTGTTTCCAACAAGAAAAGAGGTGGAGGGAAGCCCCCACCAGGCTTCCAAAGGCCTTGCATTGAGCTTACTCTCTAGAGTCTTGTAAAAGCGCGCTCAGAAATCCAGTGGAGATCATTTTTCAAAAAGATCACTCTCTATTTCTTGCCCCCCCCTTGCTTTTCCTAAGCTCTAACGTCCCTT